CAAATAGAACACAAAGAGTAATAGTAAACAGAGTAAAGTCACAGGCAGCCATGGTAAAAAGCTCTGTTTCACGAGGCACAGTATTCATGTCCAAGCGGACATCAACCAAATCTTCGAATGGGCCACTCAAAACAATATGAAGTTCAACGAGGAGAAATTTCAACTACTCAGATGTGGAAAACTTGAAGAAATTAAAAATGTGTCAGGGTATACCACAAATTCTAACCATACAATAGAGTGGAAAGTAATGTGAAGGACCTGGGAGCGATATTGTCAGAGGATCTCGCCTTTTAAGACCACAACAGTGTATCTGCCTCATCCACTAGGAAAATTATAGGCTGGATAATGAGAACCTTCAAAACTAGGGATGCCAAGCCCATGATGATTCTCTTCAAATTGCTTGTACTCTCTAGGCTGGAATACTGCTGTACACTAATGACACCCTTCAAGGCTGGCGACATTGCAGACCTGGAGTGTGTATAAGGAACTTTGACGGCACACATAAGTGCAATAAGGCACCTAAACTACTGGGAATGGTTGAAGGTCTTTGATATGTATTCCCTCGAATGCAGGTGAGAGAGATACATGATAATATACACTTGAAAGGTCCTGGAGGGATTGGTACCAAACCTGCACATGAAAATCACACCATATTCAATTCAATTCAATTCAATTCAGTTCAAGTTTATTCTCTATAAGGGTTACAATGTGGGGTTTACAGGATTTGGATATTGTGTGGTATACATGTTATAAAATACTAATTACAGAGGGGGCCACTAGGACACCTAGCATGGCTAGGCATTTCGGGCAGACTTAGATTAATTCTTAACATTAAATCCTTACAAATTATGGTATTAAGGCTAGGTGACTACATTATAATTTGTGAGTTTAGCAGTGTGAATATTTTTGTTTTAGCACAATACAAAGTGTCTATATTGGAGTATCATAGGCAAACTTATGACTAGTTAGGATTCATTATTTCAAGATTAAGATTAGTATTACTGTGTTTATAGTCAGTGGGTGAGTGAGTGTAATTGTGAACCACCAGGTGGTTATCATGTAGTTAGTTGTCGGGGTGGATCAGGGAGATCAGATGTTTTCTAACTGTAGTTTTGAAAGTGTTGAGTGTGTCTGCAGTTCTAGAGTTTTCAGGTAGGGTGTTCCAGATTTTAGGTCCTTTGAAATACAATGAATTTTTATAAAGGTTTAGTCGGACACGGGGAATGTCATAGAGATGTTTGTGTCTGGTGTTATGCCTGTGGATCCTGTCACAACTATCAAGAAAGCGTTTTAGGTCAAGGTTAATATTGGAATTTAAGGTCCTGTAGATACAGATTGCAACAGTATAAGTGTGGATGTACTGAACAGGGAGTAAGTTTAGATCTACGAAGAGTGGGGTGGGGTGTTGCCAGGGATGGGATTTAGTGATTATTCTTACTGCGGCTTTTTGTTGAGTTATTATTGGCTTTAGGTGTGTTGCTGCAGTTGAACCCCAAGCACAGATAGCATAGGTGAGGTATGGATATATAAGTGAATGGTATAGTGTGAGAAGGGCAGTTTGCGGCATGTAGTATTGTAAACTTGGAGAGGATCCCCACCGTTTTGGATACTTTTTTTGTTATGTGTTGGATATGGGTGCTGAAATTTAGGTTGTTGTCGAGGTATAGGCCAAGGAATTTGCCCTCATTATGTCTGGCAATTAGAGTGTTGTCGATCTTAATGTTAAGTTGCGCAACACCTGCTCTGCTACCAAACATAATATAGTAAGGTTTTTGTCAGTGTTAAGTGTAAGTTTATTGGCTGTCATCCAAGTCGATATTTTGAGCAGCTCCTCATTAACAATGGTGTTGAGGGTGGCAAGATTAGGGTGGGAGATGACATAAGTCGTGTCGTCAGCAAAGAGAATGGTTTCAGGTGTTGGGAAAATGTTTGGAAGATCATTGATGTAAATGAGGAAGAGCAGGGTCCGAGGACACTTCCCTGCAGAACTCCAGTATCAAGTGGCCATATTGATGAGGCTGTGTCTTTAATGGTGACATACTGATTACCTATTAGAAAGGTAGGATTTGAAATATGCAAGCGCATGGCCTCTTATACCATAGTGGTCAAGTTTGTGGAGTAGGATGCCGTGGTCTACTGTGTCAAACGCTTTTCTTAGGTCAATAAAAATTCCTAGCAGATATTCCTTATGTTCCAATGCTGTGTAAAGCAGGTCTAGCATTTTTATAATTGCATCATTAGTGCTTTTATTTTTCCTGAATCCAAATTGGCAAGGGTTGAGTATGTTTTGTGCCGTTATAAATGAATTCAGTCTCCTGTGCACGAGTTTCTCGAATATTTTGGATAGCAATGGTAAGTTTGATTGCCTATAGTTGTTTACATCTGTAGGGTCACCACCTTCATGTATTGGTGTAACCCTTGCTGTCTTGAGTAGTGACGGGAAAGTGCTAGTTTCTAGTGACTTGTTAAAAAGTAATGTAATAGCATGCGAAAGGACATGGGCCGCTCGCTTGTACAATAATGGTGGGACATGAGACAGATTCCCTGAGTTATTTTTAAGTGACTTTATGATTGCAGTGACTTCCGTGGGCTCAGTTGGTACAAGATAGAAGGAATTTGGGAAATTCCCATCTAGGTAGTCCCCGGCATGGGCATTGGTACGTGGGATTTTAGTGGTGAGATTAGATCCTATGTTTGAGAAGAAGTCGTTTATCTTGTATGCTGTATCAGTGGGATGCAGTGGTGTTTCATGAGGTTTAGTTAGGACAATATTCTTGTTTTTTTTCAGTTTGTGGGTCCCCAGAATCTGGGAAAGTGTTTTCCAGTCTTTTTTTATATCTTCTCTTGTGTCAGTGAATCTGCTGGAGTAGTACAGTTGTTTGGCTTTCTTTATTACTTTGGTGAGAACTGATGAATAGTGTTTAAGAATATCTTTGTGTATTAAGCCCTGTCTATATTGCTTTTCATATTGGTGTTTCTTATGAATGGATTCAGAATGCTGCTGGTTAGCCATGGGCAACTGAGCCGTTTATTCGTGGATCTGTTTCATTTTTATGGGACAATGTTTGTTGTAATAGTCTAAGTATTTTGTTAAGAAAAATGTCTGTCCAATCGTCAATACCATTGGCTTTGGAGAATTCTGTAGGCCAGTCAGCAGTCTCTAGGTCTGCTGTGAAATTCCTTATTGAGGCCTCGTCATGGAGTCTAAATGAAACTTTGTTGTATTCAAGTGGTGGCTTACTAATGTTTGTTAAGAGGAAGGTTGGGTAGTGGTCAGTAGTGCTGTCTGTGATTATCCCTGATTTAAGGGGGCTAGTATATTGGTCCATATGTGGTCTATTATGGCTGCACTTGTCTCAGTCAGCCTAGTTGGTTTAGTTATTGTTGGTATGAGAAGTGTGTTGTTCATATTGTTGATGAAATCAGTTACAGTCTGATCATCTAGTAGGCCAAGGTTGATATTGAAGTCTCCAGCTAAGAGAAGGTGGTGTTAGTTCATTTGTCTGTTTGTTATTAGTGCCTTGAGATTCTCACTGAAGTTTGGGATGTTTGTGTGGGGTATCCGGTAAATGGCACCGATTGTTATAGGCATCTTGAGGGTTTTTACAGTAAAATTAGCAAAAATGTATTCCCCATATTCATCACTAAAGCAATTGGTGCTAATACAAGATAGTTGGTTAGAGTAATAGATTGCAGTACCACCCCCAACTTGGTATGGTCTGCAGTTGTGGATTGCTGTGTATCCTGGTAGTGGGTAGATATCTATTGTGTCCTGCTTAAGCCAGGTCTCAGTAAGAATAATGCAGGAGAAGGGTGTCTTTAGTGACTCAAGGAGTGCCAGGAGGTCATCATAGTGCTTGCTTAAGGACCTGATGTTGTAGTTAAGAACTGATAGACTTCGAGCAGAGTTCAGGATAGTGCTGGCTTATGATGCTGTGTAATAAAGGCAGTTACTTTCCAATAAGTTTTGATTGTGTGTTAGATTATGGAGGTTTAGATCAGGTTTAAATAGTGGTTATTTATATCCTGTATTATGTGGCGAGTTCTAATACTGATTTCTGTAGTGGTGGAAAATTTGGACAAGTATATAGCTAAAGCACTTTGGTCATATAGAGTATAGTCACTAATAAACATAATGAAGTTGATATTGTCTATGTGTTGTGCTAGAATGAGCTAAAGTACAACTAGGTATAAACTTATAATATAAAAATACAAAATAACATGGTATTTGCAATTGCAAGTACCATTAAAGCAGAAGATTTGGCAGGAGATGCAACATTCCCTCGATGAAAAGCAGGGGCGCCACAAGTACACAGAGACAACACAGTAAGTGTCCAGGGCCCAAGACTGTTCAATTGCTTCCCAGCATACATAAGAGGGATTACCAATAGACCCCTGGCTGTCTTCAAGAAGGCACTAGACAGGAACCTAAAGTCAGTACTTGACCAACCGGGCTGTGGTTCATATGTCAGCTTGTAACAACCTGGTTGATCAGACCCTGATCCACCATGAGGCCTTGTCTCAGACTGGGCTGTGGGGGCATTGACCCCTGAAACCCTCTCCAGGTAAACCTGAAATTCCATACCCATATCCAGCACATAGCCAAGAAGGTCTCCAAAACAGTAGGCATCCTCTCCAAGATAAAGTACTAAGTATTCCAAATGACACTAGTTACACAATACCACTCTCTAATCCACCCTTACCTCACCTATGGTATTTGTGCCTAGGCATCTACTACTAATAATCATCTTAAACCATTATAATCCAACAAAAAAAGCTGCTGTGTGGATTATCACCCATTTCTGTGCCAGACTACTCCCCCCCCCCAAGCTTCAAGAGTTTGAACTTACTAAATAAACAAAATATGCACTTATATAAGTGTCCGGGGTCCAAGACTGTTCAACTGCCTCCCAGCCTACATAAGGGGGATTACCAATAGACCCCTGGCTGTCTTTAAGAAGGCACTGGACAGGCACCTAAAGTCAGTACCTGACCAACCAAGTTTTAGTTTGTATTTCAGCTTTCGTGCAACCAGTAGTAACAACCTGGTTGATCAGACCCTGATCCACCATGAGGCCCGGTCTCAGACTGAGCCACGGGGGCATTGAACCCCGAAACCCTCTCCAGGTAAACTCGTATTACTGTACCTATTATGTATATAGAACATTAAACTCCAGCAGAAACCCTCCCCTCAGACTTCTTGATATCTACAACAGAACACACAGGCACAACACAAGATACAGAACTCTCTTTGACATCCCCCATGTCCGTCTCACCCTATGCAAAGAGTGCAGTGCATATAAAGGGCCCCAAGATCTGGAATTCATTGTCCGAACCAGCAAAAGGTCTCCTGTCTGCCACTCAATTTAGAAATATAATTAAAAATCACCTTATCTCCCTAACTTAATTACACCAACACTTTGCTATACCAAACAAAACCGATTCATCTATACCTAACAAAACCAACCTTAAATCATAGCCTGTTCGAAACTACTTAATCAGTTTAAAGTATTAATACATACTTAAATTTATACTGTTTTTACTCTCTCTCCTTTTGTAAAAATGTACACTTATAATTTTTTCACTTAATACCTATGTCTAGTCTTAAGTAGCATGTAAGCATTAGGATTAGTCTGACCAAAATGCACAGCATGTTAATGACACAGCATGTTAGTGACACAGCATGTTAGTGACACAGCATGTTAGTGACACAGCATGTTAGTGACACAGCATGTTAGTGACACAGCATGTTAGTGACTGTCTTGCACTTTACAATATTTTATTGTGTGTAAACTAGTTTTTATACTACATAAGGAAATAAAATGTTTGTTTTGTTTTACATAGTCTAGTAGGTTAAGGGTCACCTCCTGGTTACTGTTTACCTGGAGTTTACCTGGAGAGAGTTCTGGGGGTCAACGCCCCCGCGGCCCGGTCTGTGACCAGGCATCCTAGTGCACAGTTAACACCCTCACAATGAGTTACATGCAGACTTGACATTCTGACTACTACAGTACTTGCACATATGCAACATCTTGTGTATGTAATTTCACCAGTGGAAATATTGCTGATTAAGATGGTCACCTCTTGCTGCACTAACTTATTCATCTGAAGCACTGCATGTTATTTAAAACTGAATTAGAATTTTAAATAAAAAATAATACAGTATACAGTATTTAAGACTTAATTATTGACTTCAAATGTTGTCAGTATTTAAGTTTACAGTGTTCAGTATTTAACATTGATTTTTCTTCGATAATTGAAAGTGTTTTCACTGATGTTTACCTGGAGTTTACCTGGAGAGAGTTCCGGGGGTCAACGCCCCCACGACCCGGTCTGTGACCAGGCCTCCTGGTGGATCAGAGCCTGATCAACCAGGCTGTTACTGCTGGCTGCACGCAATCCAACGTACGAGCCACAGCCCAGCTGGTCAGGTACCGACTTTAGATGCTTGTCCAGTGCCTGCTTGAAGACTGCCAGGGGTCTATTGGTAATCCCCCTTATGTATGCTGGGAGGCAGTTGAACAGTCTCGGGCCCCTGACACTTATTGTATTGTATCTTAACGTGCTAGTGACACCCCTGCTTTTCATTGGGGGGATGTTGCATCATCTGCCGAGTCTTTTGCTTTCGTTGTGAGTGATTTTCGTGTGCAAGTTCGGTACTAGTCCCTCTAGGATTTTCCAGGTGTATATAATCATGTATCTCTCCTGCCTGCGTTCCAGGGAATACAGGTTCAGGAAATTCAAGCGCTCCCAGTAATTGAGGTGTTTTATCTCTTTTATGCGCGCCGTGAAGGTTCTCTGTACATTTTCTAGATCCACCTGCCGTGAAAGGTGCTGTTAGTGTACAGCGATATTCCAGCCTAGATAGAACAAGTGACCTGAAGAGTGTCATCATGGGCTTGGCATCCCTAGTTTTGAAGGTTCTCATTATCCATCCTGTCATTTTTCTAGCAGATGCAATTGATACAATGTTATTGTCCTTGAAGGTGAGATCCTCCGACACGATCACTCCCAGGTCTTTGACATTGGTTTTTCGCTCTATTTTGTGGAAGGAATTTTTGTACTCTGATGACGTTTTAATTTCCTCATGTTTACCATATCGGAGTAATTGAAATTTCTCATCGTTGAACTTCATATTGTTTTCTGCAGCCCACTGAAAGATTTGGTTGATGTCCGCCTTGAGCCTTGCAGTGTCTGCAATGGAAGACACTGTCATGCAGATTTGGCTGTCATCTGCAAAGGAAGACATGGTGCTGTGGCTGACATCCTTGTCTATGTCAGATATGAGGATGAGAAACAAGATGGGAACGAGTACTGTGCCTTGTGGAACAGAGTTTTTCACCGTAGCCACCTCAGACTTTACTCTGTTGACTACTACTCTTTGTGTTCTGTTTGTGAGGAAATTATAGATCCATCTACCAACTTTTCCTGTTATTCCTTTAGCACGCATTTTGTGACCTATTACACCATGGTCACACTTGTCGAAGGCTTTGGCAAAGTCTGTATATATTACATCTGCATTCTTTTTGTCTTCTAGTGCATCTAGGACCTTGTAGTGATCCAGTAGCTGAGACAGACAGGAGCGGCCTGCTCTAAACCCATGTTGCCCTGGGTTGTGTAATTGATGGGTATCTCAATGGGTGGTGATCTTGCTTCTTAGGACCCTTTCAAAGATTTTTATGATATGGGATGTTAGTGCTATCGGTCTGTAGTTCTTTGCTATTGCTTTACTGCCTCCTTTGTGGAGTGGGGCTATGTCCGTTGTTTTTAGTAACTGTGGGACAACCCCCATGTTCATGCTCCCTCTCCATAGGATGGTTAAAGCTCGTGATAGGGGCTTCTTGCAGTTCTTGATGAAGACGGAGTTCCATGAGTCTGGCCCTGGGTCAGAGTGCATGGGCATGTCATTTATCGCCTGTTCGAAGTCATTTGTCTAACCTGTATATAATGATTTTTGCATTAAATCTTTACTTCATATTGTTTTCACAATTGGATTTTGGTATTTACATAAAAATTCTTGATCGTATTTTCTGCCAATGCCCTAACTGCTCTATTGTAGAAGTCCTGGAAGGATTTTGAAATGTTATTCTGTAACCCACTTTAAGGCACTTTTTATTAAAAGTGTTTTTTTGCAAAGAATAAAAAATGGTTTTGGTGCTATTTGGTGAAGGACCTGGGAGTGATAATGTCAGAGGATCTCACCTTCATCTGCTAGAAAAATGACAGGATGGATAATGAGAACCTTCAAAACTGGGGATGCCAAGCCATGATAACACTCTTCAGGTCGCTTGTTCTATCTAGGCTGGAATATTGCTGCACACTAACAGCACCTTTCAAGGCAGGTGAAATTGCTGACCTAGAAAATGTACAGAGAACCTTCACGGCGCACATAACGGAGATAAAAACCCTCGATTACTGGAGCGCTTGAGGTTCCTGAACCTGTATTCCCTGGAACGCAGGCGGGAGAGATACATGATTATATACACCTGGAAAATCCTAGAGGGACTAGTAGCGAACTTGTGCAAGAAAATCACTCACTACGAAAGCAAAAGACTCGGCAGACGACACACATCCCCCCAATGAGAAGCAGGGGTGTCACTAGCACGTTAAGAGACAACACAATAAATGTCAGGGGCCCAAGACTGTTCAACTGCCTCCCAGCATACATAAGGGGGATTACTAATAGACCCCTGGCTGTCTTCAAGCAGGCACTGGACAAGCACCTAAAGTTGGTACCTGACCAGCTGGGCTGTGGCTCGGACGTTGGATTGCGTGCAGCCAGCAGTAACAGCCTGGTTGATCAGGCTCTGATCCACCATGAGGCCTGGACACAGACCGGGCCGCAGGGGAGTTGACCCCCGGAACTCTCTCCAGGTAAACTCCAGGTAAACTTGCACACGAAAATCACTCCCTACGAAAGCAGAAGACTCGGCAGGAGATGCAACATTTCCCCAATGAAAAGCAGGGGGGGCCACAAGTACACCAAGAGACAAACAAAGTAAGTGTCAGGGGCCCAAGACTGTTCAACTGCCTCGCAGCATACATAAGGGGGAGTACCAATAGACCCCTGGCTGTCTTCAAGAGGGCACTGGACAGGCACCTAAACTCAGTACCTGACCAACTGTATGTCGGTTTGCATGCAGCCAGCAGTAACAGTCTGGTTAATCAGACTCTGATCCACCACGAGGCCTGGTCTCAGACTGGGTCGTGGGGGCATTGACCCCCAAAACCCTCTTCAGGTATACTTCAGGTATTGTTAATTAAAAGTCATGTATGAGCTACCAAAAAGACCCTTGTGGGTTTAGCACTTAGTTTTGATTATAGTAATAATGAGCTACCAAAACATTTCATGGGCACTTTGCAACATTGGTAGACTGATTCATAAATTTTTTGAAATCACTGAATGTAAAATTGAAAAAAGCATAAGGTACTAAAAGTCTTAAGTACACAAAGTATTTACAGTAGGACCCACGTATCCACGGGTGGGGGGGGGGATACATTCCAAGAACCTGCTGTGGGCAGCAGCGAACACTATATGTAAGTCTTTTTTCATTTACATACATACTTCTGATGAAGTTTAATTAATAAATTGTGCAAAATAAGTCTAGTACTGGCACTGTTTCACTGATGGGAAGCATTTCACAACTTTTCTTGGGCTTTGAAGAACTGCCAACATCACTACTTTCACACTTTGGGGCCATTATTAAGTAGAATTAAGGGTCATTTTCAGGCTATGGTAAACTGGATAACTGAAACTGCAGATATCGAGTCAGTGGATACAGGGGCTCTACTGTATTATGATTTCGAGTCAGTGGATACAGGGGCTCTACTGTATTATGATATTGAGTCAGTGGATACAGGGGCTCTACTGTATTATGATATCGAGTCAGTGGATACAGGGGCTCTACTGTATTATGATATCGAGTTAGTGGATACAGGGGCTCTACTGTATTATGATATCGAGTCAGTGGATACAGGGGCTCTACTGTGTAATGATATCGAGTCAGTGGAATACAGGGGCTCTAATGTATAGATATCGAGTCAGTGGATACAGGGGCTCTACTGTATTATGATATCGAGTCAGTGGATACAGGGGCTCTACTGTATTATATTGAGTCAGTGGATAC